AGGACTGTGGGGCTGAACTCTGAATCACTGCCAGGTAAACCTTGGTCCTCCACCTGACAGTTATCAGGAGGAAGAGATTTCCTCTGATCTGACTCCCAGTTCCGGCCCTAAACACCCTGCGGGCCCACTAGAGTCACCGGTCTCTCTCCCTGAGAGTCCACCAGAGACTGTACCCACCCTACCCCCATACCAGCCCATCTACCCCCTGTTACCAGTCCTAAATCCCTGGGAGAACTTCGATGCCCGCTCCAGGAGGAGGCAGGGGGACGTCACGGCACCACCCAGATCCACGCCCCTTTTTCTATGTCAGACCTTAATCACTGCAGACACCATTTAGGACAGTTCTTGAAGGATCCAGGCAAGTTCACTGACAAGTTTAAAGGTTTGGCTCTGTCTTTTGATCTCACCTGGAGGGACTTAAATTTATTCTCTCTCATTGCTGTGCCCCAGAAGAAAAAAACTCATCTTTAGGGACAAGTGCTGACTCCCTACATGTATTTCAACCTAATCTATACCTGGTGGGAATGATGATCCCAACTGGAATTATCAGGCAGGGCAGGAAGAAACTATTCACAGAGACCACATAGACCTGTGCCTCCTGTGGGGGATGAAGAGATGCACAAACCAGCCTGTGAACTATGATAAGATTAAGGAAGTTACACAGGAGCCATACGAAAACCCAGCCCTTTTTCATGCTCACTCAAGTAGGTACCCTACGCAAATACACTAATGTAGATTCCACCACCCAGGAGGGACACATTGCAGCAGGGATGCATTTTATTAGCCAGTGTGCACCTGACATCCGCAGGACTACAGAAGTTAGCTATGGGGCCCCAAACCCCTACTAGTTAACTCACAGACGCTGCTTTCAACGTCTTTAATAACGGAAACAGGGGAAATTAGGAAAGGCACAGCAAAACAGGAGACGAGATCAGAGACAGGCCAGACTTTTGGCTGCAGTTATAGACAGGCCAAGGTCAAAGCTAAATCAGGGCCACCACGGCAACCCCAGAAGAGTAACACCAGGCAAGGGAGCCTGCTTTAAATGTGGAAGCCCAGACCACTGGAGTACGGAGTGCCCTAATCCTCCAAAACAGCCATGCCCCCTGTGCAAACAAAAAGGGCACTGGAAAAGAGACTGTCCCCTGCTCTGAAAGGAGGAGGGGGGCAACTCCTTCTCTGCAAATGGCTGTGATCGACTGACAGAGCCCGAGGTTCCCAGCGGCTCCCAAGAAGACCATCATCATCAGAGGGAAGAAACCGCGGTGACCCTTGACATGGCAGGTAAGCCTATTAATTTTCTGATTCACACGGAAGCCACTTACTCTGTCTTGACCTCTCACTCTGGACCTATTTCCTCTCGAAACCCGCTCGACTATAGGAATAGATGAAACCCCTAGGTTCCAGGCTTTTCCTCAGCCTGTCTTTTGCCAATGGGGTGCACATTTAGTAACTCATAGATTCCTAGTTATGTCTAAGTGCCCCACTCCATCGCTGGGAAGAGATCTCCTCTCGGCTTTAGGGGCCACATTAGGTCTTCCGGAGTTCCGAAGATCCTTCCTAGCACTCTTAAGTTCTCCTGCCTCAGAAACCCCCTCAGGGGTACCCCGGGACATATTAAGCAGCGTCAATCCTGAAGTTTGGGATCAGGGAATCCCAGGGAGAGCCCTTAAAGCAGATCCCATTGAGGTCTTTCTGAAGGATCCCCTGTCACATCCTTGAAAAGAGACAGTACCCTTTCAAAGCTCGTAAGGGGCTCCAACCTCTGATAAAGGAATTTATAACCTATGGACTTTTAGTACCCTGTCAATCTCCTTTTAATAACCCTATCATGCCAGTTTTGAAGCTGAATGAAGAATGCCGTCTAGTCCAGGACTTGAGAATTATTAATGAGGCTGTTGTGCCTACTCACCTGCTGGTCCCAAACCCATCTTCAATACTAACTCAGGTGCTGGGGACTCCAGCTGGTTTTCTGCCTTGGACACGAAAGATGCACGCTTTTGTATCCCCTTCCACCCAGACTCTCAATACCTGTTCGCTTCTGAATGGAGAGACTCTGGCTCTGGTCTGTCCCAACAGCTTACCTGGACTGTACTGCCCCAGGAATTTGGAGATCGCCTGCTTGTAGACTCTGACCTCAATTCTGTTATTTCTTATATCATTAACTTGGGAGAGGTTCAACAGGTACTCAGGGAATATGGGCGTCAGCACCTCCCCCAGGATGACCCCTCTACCCATTACAGCTCCATAGAACCAGGTGACCAAATATTATTAAAAACCTGGGGAAAAAAAACCCCAGCAGACCAGTTAACTCCTAAATGGAAAGGACCTTATACAGTTCTGAGCACTCCAACCGCTGTCAAACTACAAGCAATCAATCAAACCTGTTTCATTTAAGTCTCCACAGGACTCCCCCAGAGAGGAAGACCGTCACTCAGAAAACGCTGAGATACCTTTCTATTCCTGTGAACCTGCTGAAGACCTTAAGCTCCTCTTCAAACAGACAAGCAAGTCAATCTCTCAAGACTGATAAGTATTGATGACTAACCCCAGACTTCTGGATTTGCTAATTATTGCCTTTCTCTTGAGCCTTATTTTAGCTCTAATCTTCTACTTCACTTGTGACCCACCTGGGTCCCCCGTAGAGTGTTTCTTTCATAACCATACTCAGTTATCTCCATGATTTTAGTCATTTTAGTTCTCCTCCTCCCAGGGGCTCCTCCTCCGGGGAGAATGGGAAACCAATATCTTTGTAAATTTTTCTAATGTAATAAATAGCTAGGGGCCTGACTGCTGGTTAGGCCATAAGCAGCCCGAATCAAACCACAACTCCCCTACATTTCAGCCTGCACACCTTAAGTACTCAGTAAATGTTAGTTTTTATTATTAATAATGTTATACTGGCTATTGGCTAATTTATTAGCTAGCCCCTTAACTAAAACTGGCAAAAAAGAAATGCTATTTCCATTATCAAATTGGAATTACTTTCTTTTCAAGACTCTACCCCAGTTTCATTAATAATGCCTCTTATTTTACATTCAAAGTCATACACATCAATGTATATCTGATTTATGGCACTCTATGACAAACCAGGTAAGGTATTCCCTGCTTTCAACAAGCTGTGATCTAGCTAAATAAGACATATACCACACAAACACACATGCACGCCCCCACACACCCCAAAGTACCAGAGATGTCACAAAGTAACATAAATGATGTTACATAGTTTGAGAGTGTAGCTGGAATCTGAACCCTAGTATGAGCCCCAAGTCTACAAAGATCCATAGTAAGTCCTCCATAAATGTTTAATGATGACGAGCAAATGTTCCAAATGACAGCTGTGAGAAAGACACTTAGAACACCTCTCATTTCAACAGAATGACTACAGTAACCAAAATAACAGCTCTAGTGGTTGTGACTTCTAAGAGGTGATAACAATATCTTTAGGACAAAGATAGCAAGGATTTTCAGATGACAAGCACATTGTGCTTAGTAGGTCCACCCTTATTTAGGAGCATTCTAAACCACAATCAACTGTATTCTCCAAACAAGAAACACTAAAATTCCTGGATAGTCTACCGTTGTGCCCTGTTCAATACAGTAGCCACTAGCCACACGTGACTATTTATTTAAATGTAAATGAACAAAAAAATTAAATAAAATTGAAAATTCAGTTCCTCAGTCGCTCTAGTCACATCTGAACAGCTCCACAGCCGCATGTGGCTAGTGGCTGCCCTACTGGAGGTGGCAAAAGAGAACATTTCCATCACCGAGAAAGTTCTTTTGGAACTTAGCACTAGCTGCTGGCCTAGAACACATTTAAAATGCAAATTCTTTTAATACAACTTTTCACCAGTCTGGCAAATGGAACTTTACATTTAACTTTAAAACACATTAAGAGTATATAACCCCACCAAGAAAACAGAATTGGCTGTCATTTTGAAAGTGTCTATTTGCCGCTTGCACAGACAGATTTAACAGTGATCCCGCCTTTTGTTTCTGTTATACGTACTAAACTCTCAGAAATGACATAAATACATAATCTGAATCGTGAGTGTGGATCACGACCTCTACCACCTTTGTCTTTTCATATACTTGATACAACATTGCAAATTACAAGATCGAGTTCTGTAGTGCTTCCACTGCGGCAGTAGTGCTTTTACTCGCTACACGCAGGTAAACATACAGGTCTGCGATGGCAGGGTGAGTCCATACGGTTCAACGAGGTAATGACAGTCACAGCGCTGTATGTGCCTGCTGTGACTGTCACATCCAGGATACAGGGCACCCCCCCCCATGAGTCTCAAGACGCATTCGCACAGAAGGAAGTCGGTGGGCTAGGGGCCACCTGAAAGGCTGTGTACCCAAGTCTGGATGATCTCTGGAAAGGTCCACAGCCACCTGTGGTCCCAGGGGAAGGGGCCAGCCCTCTGACACGGAAACACTTCCAGGGGTGGACACGGGGTGGGGTGGGGTGGGGGGGCAGAGAAGATCACAAGTGCCTGCAGAGGCAGGAACTGTGACAGGACAAGATCAGAGGCTGGGGCAAGATGAAGGGGCCATCCCTCCCCAGCCCGAGTCCTTCCCGGCCCCGGGACAGGCGAGTTACATAAGCCCGCCAGGCGTCTCTCGGCGCCGGGCGCGCGGTGCAGGCGGCGAGGGCAGTCCCCGCGGCAGGGGGCCCCCTCTTTCCCTACCTCGGCTGGGGGCCCCGCATCGCGCCAGGAGAGCAGCCACCGCCTCCGCCGGGCACGGGCTGGGCTCCCGGGCTTTCGGTTTCCGGCCCTGGCGCTCCCACAACCCCAGAAACCAACACACAGACACCATAACAAAGGCGGCGACGCGGCGGCAACACCGGAGTGCGAGGACTAGGGGACCACGGTGGGGCTGGCAGTCAGCCCACTTGCCGAGCGGAGGGCACGGCCGCCCGTCCCGGCCGGTGCCGCCCGGGGGCAGGCGGCCGGCTGGGAGAGGTGGGGGTGCTTGGAGGTGCTACTCACTCTCGTCAGGCAACTGGTCGAGCTCCGCCATCTTGAACGAGCCGCGCCGCTTTTTCAAAGGCTGCCCGCCGCGGTGCATTGTGGGGCGGAGACTGTCTTTGCGAGGGAGGTTCGAATGCGGAGCTCGCTGCCCGCGGCACCGCGTCGCACCGCGCCTGCCGTGGCCGGCCGAGGCGGGCCGGGCTCCGCCCGCGCCTGCCCGGGGAGCGGGGGGCGCCGAGCGGGGCCAGGCCTCTGCCCCTCCGCCCCCAGCACGGCTGGAGGGAGGAGACAGAAAGGCCGCACCGAGAGGCCCGTCTCGCGCCGCCCCTGCCCGGGCCCGGAGCCGGAGCGCGGGGGGGAGCCGCGCGAGCTCCCGAGTCCCGCCGGCCCCGCTCCCGGGCCGCGCCGCCCGCCCCCTCCGGGGCTCGCTCCCGGCGCGCGGTTCGCGTCTCGCGCTGCAGCTGCGGGAACTGCAGGCTGTTGGTTCCCAGTGGGGAAAGGGAGGGATGGTGGGAGGGAGGCCCGGGCGGGCTGAGGCGGGGCAGGGAGGCGGCACCTGTGGGCCCGGCGCCGGGAAAGAAGCCCTGGGTGCGGGCTCGCGTTACCCGAGGGGGCTCTACTCGGAGTGGGTTTTCCACGGTTCCCAAAACCCACGTTTCTCCGGCGTCGCCATCCCTCCCTTCTCGGGAAAGCGAGGAGGAGGGCTCAGGCCGCAGCCCCATAGCTTGTCCGTCCGGGACTTCGGGTTCCGGTGGAGGAGACCCTCCTCCCCAATGTCGGAACCGGAGCTGCGTGGCCCCTGGAAGAGAGACCTTGAGAGGTCATGAAGTTAGTCATTTAGGTCGGCAGCTCATTTTTACTCAGCTGTTTCATCCGTTGGGCACTAGACCGTGTAGTGAGCTGAGAATTACAAAACCAGTAACAGGAGGTTTGGTGAAGATGGCAAACCATCAGCGCTAACACTACACGATGGTCAAGTACTCTGATCAAAATGTTATAAGAACACTGGATGAGAAGTCATCCAATTTTGAAAGCACGGGGAAAAAATTTCACCATCCCTGTCAGTAGCACTGTCCAGCAATAAACCACTGTTGCTTTGCAACAATTCATTTAACAAATGTCCTTTTCCGAGCTCCAGTCCTTTTCTGAGCTCCAGGAATTTATGGGGTGGGTGGCGGGTGGTGAGGTGGTTAAGCAATGAAAATACAAATAGGGTGAATTCCAAGAAATAAAAAGTTTAAAAGGTGGTAGACTGAGATGAGGACGAAGCAGTAAGCTCGCAGGGGCCAGCGCAGGCTAAGGAGTTGAACTTGCTAAGAGCCCTGGAGCAGTGCAGTTGGGTTTTAAATAACGGGGATGGATGGCGTGTTTCCATTGGTGTTGTAGCAGGAAAATGTGGGAAATGAATTGTTCTGAGACAAGATGAGAGTTCTGGAAACCAGTCAGGAGGAAGTTTGTTGGGGTAGGCAGGCCAAGGAGAGGAGGGAGACGTCTACACTCGCTACCCGAGGGGCTCAGAAAGGGGCTCTGGAGCCCCAAGGCTTGGTTGGGATTCTGGCTGCTAGTTATATATAACCTTAGGCAAGTTTGTTTCTTAGTTCCCTGTGTCTCAGTTTATCATATAAAATGCAGATAATAACCGGGTTGTTTTGAGGATTAAATGAGTTGATGGATGTAAAAACCTTATAGCATTGTAGTTTCTAGCACACATTTTGGCTCAAACGTTAGCTATTGCTACCACCATTTCAGAATAGACAATACCGTTGGTGGTGCTAATGTTGTGCCTTGGTTATCTGGGTGCTGCCACTTGGCTGAGGTAGGAGGTGCAGCAAGATGTGAGCAGAGAAGGTTTAAAATTTCAGTTATACAAAGTAATGTTTCTTTCATAGCTAACTTAACCCCTCCCGTGCATTCTGAGCTACTTCCTAAGATGCAAAACAACTGATCCTTGTTCAGCATGGAGGGTAGGACACTGTGAATTTGGAGATCGATTCAAGAAAAGGTCAATCCTCTGAAAATGAAAGGATAGAAATAAACACAAGGTCGTTTAGGGGAGTGAGAAGTAAAAGTTGTGAATGTAACATAATGACAAAAAATATCCAGCCTAAGAGAAAATTTGTAAGAGTTTATTTAAGCCAAACTGACAACAATTGCTGGGAAGCAAAATCTCAACGGATTGAGAAAATGGGCTTTTTGCAATTTATTTTATACATTAGAATCAAAAGAGGAAGGTTACGTGAAATCCATTGGTTGTAGATTAAGGGGATGGGTGGGAGAAACCAAAGTGGAGAAATCTCTGGGATTGGATAAAAAGTAAAATGGAGAGACACATACTTCTTTTAAATTGGTGGGTACAGCATAATTAATAGCATTTTACAGCATGTAGAGATAGTATTTGGGAAACAAGATAACAGTGAGGGACTTTGTAGTTTCCTGCTCTGGTGTGGTGAGTCGTGCCCCCTGGGAGGTCTGGAAAAAGATTACTCTGATATTGTCTTAGATGCAAAAAGAGGACAGACAGGCTTAAGGTAAAGATTGACCTTTGTCAAGGAAGCTACAGGTCAAGGATGTGACTTCCCGCCATGGCCCACCTTAGTTAGGAATTTTTATGTTCATGCCATCATCCTCTGTGATTATTTTCAGTCTCCTGAGTTTGTCAGGTTTAACATGTGGCCCCTTTTCGGTCCACACTAGGGTCAAGGAATCATTAGACCAAGGCAAACCCGGTTTTAGCCTAAGGCAGTTTTCATACACTCAACAACAGGTCTGCTGTTAGAAGTATTTTTAGGCCTTTCTTTAGATAATGTGCATGTTAAACAAAAACCCTAAACGAGTCCAAATATATGGTGATGGAAGGAGATGTGACTCTGGGTGGTAAACTCACAATGTGATAGATAGATGATGTGTTACAGAATTGTACACCTGAAACCTATGTAACTTTACTAACCATTGTCACCCCAATAAACTTGAATTTAAACAAACAACAAAAACAACAAAACAACCTAAATGAGTCTTCTCACACTCTGAAGCCTGAAGCTGTATACCAGCCACAGATCTACCCCTCACTGTCTTGTGACTACAAAGCATTTGTTTTTAGTGAGGTTCTTTCTTTTTTTAATTGGGGAACAGTGTGTTTTTCCAGGACCCATCAGCTCCAAGTCAAATAGGTGTTTCAATCTAGTTGTGGAGGGCGCATCTCAGTGGCCCATGTGGGGATCGAACCGGCAACCTTAGTGTTATGAGCACTGCACTCTAACCAACTGAGCTAACTGGCCACCCAGTGAGGTTCTTTATTGGATATTTATGAGAGAGGTTTTATAATCATTGTCTTAGTTGGTAACTTGTTCAAGGACAAAACATCAACCAGGTGATATAACCAGGAATCTGGCCGACTGTGTGTGTCAGTTTCCCCTTCTGATGGGAGGATAACACATGCATGGAAGCGCTGTTAAATCTTTTTTTTTTTTTTTGCTCTTGCAAGCGCTGTTAAATCTTAAATTGTGGATTCTAATTGAAAATGACATGATTGTATAAGAGTATCTTTTCATGTGGTTATTAGTTTATTATATCTTTTTTTGGAGCCTTTGCCCATTTTTGAACTGAATTATTTATCTTTTTATTATCAAGTTGTAAGCCTTCTTTATATACTTTGGACATAAGTCCCATATCAGATATAGGATTTGCAAATATTTTCTCCCATTTGGAAGGTTGTCTTTTTGCATTCTGGATAATGTCCTTTGGCGCATACATGTTCACACAGAAATGAATCAATAAGCACAATAAGGGAAGTGCAATAAAATGAGGTATGCCTATATATACCCCAAAAAAGCAGGGTCATGAGATATTTGTACACCCATGTTCCTAGCAGCATTATTCACAAAAATCATGAGGTGGAAGTAACAAAGTGAATGGATGTGCAAAATGTGGTATATACATACAATAGAATATTACTCAGCCCTAGAAAAGAAAAATTCTGATGCGTGGCTACAACACAGTGAAACTTGGGGACGTTTTACTAAGTGAACTATCCATATAGACAGAAAGTAGATGAGTGGTTGCCTAGGGCTGCTGGTGGTGGTGGTGGTTGGGGTGGGGTCAGGGAGGAAGTGGGTGTGACTGCTAAAGTGTACAGGGTTTCCTTCTGAAGTGAAGATAATGTTCTACAATTGACTGACTTTGATGATGGCTGATGTTCTAAAATTAACTGATTGTGGTGATGGCTACACAACTTAGTGCATATACTAAAAACTACTGAATTGTGTATTTTAAATAGGCGAATTGTATCGTGTGTGGATTATATCTCAATAAAGTTACAAGAAAAAATCTTATTTTCAGACTTTTTGGGTTTTGTCTTGATCTAAAATCTTTGTTACTCACTTTTTATAGATTCTTTTTCTAATGAAGATGCAAAATCAAAGGTGCTCTTCTGGGTCATTTTAAAGGATAGCTGCAAACAAAAGACCAGTATCAAACTGCTTTCCTTTCTACTTTGTCTTTCCTGCCAAACATTCTACTTACTATTCTGCAAACTATGCTAGAAAGACAAGCTGCTTTTCCTGTGGACCCAAGTGGCTACTGGAAGATGCAAATTGAATTCTTGACAGATCTTGTGTCTTTAGATTAACCTCTAGGAGAGTCATCAAATACCTGTTTCTCCTGAGACCCAGGTAAAAGTTATCATTTGGTTAAAAAACAAAGGAGGGATCATCATTAAACCTATTTCCGAGGGCCGTAGTGAGAATTAAACGAGAGCACTTACTAAAATACCTGGCCCACATCTGAACACAGAAACACCAGCTCCCTGCCACTCTTTTCTAGATCCTGTTTCCCTAAATTGTACCCAGAAGGAACCAAATGGTGTTAGTTGTATTTCCAAGACACAACCTCTAAAGACATTATGCTTGGCAAACCTTACTGGTGTATCCCAGGTTATTTATGGAGGTCTCTGTTTTTCAGTCTGCAAAATGGAGCCAAAATTAAGGAAGAACGCCACTTCCTTAAGGAATAATAGCAACCTCTTTCACCAGATAGCTTGTGTAATAAACTATGAAAAGTTATGATAGATTATCCCATGGGAGGGAGAGAGAAAGAGATACTCTCCACATACAGGAACACACTCAGTAATTTTCCAGAATTTCCTAAATGAAGTAGGGGACATCAACTAGGGGAACTACCCAAGGAGGAGGCCTCATCATCAGAAGTCAATGGCTTAACACAGTGGACTTGTGGCCCCAGAAAGATTGTCCCTCAGGACATGTATGTGTCCATGAGATGTAAGGAAACATTAAGATTGGATAAGCATTAATTTTGCTTTGTCTTCTTAACCTTGAGTATTGTAAGCAATTTAATAGGGTACA